AAAAACGGAGCGAAGATGCTGCCAGCCCACAGAAGTCAGAAACTGCCCTTGGTAGGCCAGGCGTAACGTGCTCCGCAGCCCAGGCACCTGTCAAAGCCCCCACCGCACAGTTTAGCTGAGCCCCAAATGTCAGAAAAGAGCAGGAGGCTGAGATGCGAGGAGCATGCCAACCAAGGTTGGTTCAACGTCCGAATGTGAATTAACGTAAAATACTACATTGATACAGCAAAGGATAAAAACCACATAATCACCACTGCAGAGGCAGAAAAAGGATTTGACAAAAGCCAACACATCTTCATTTTAAAAGACAAACTTTACACAACAAGTAGGAACAGAAAGGAGCTTCCTCAACCCCGTAGTGGCCATCCACGAACACCCTGCAGCTAACTCGATGGTGAGAGAGGAATGCTTTCTTCCGAAGACCCCCGATGTCCACTTTCGACACTTCTGTTCAACACCAAACTGGAACTTCCAGCTGAGGCAATTAGGAAAGAAAACGAAATAAAAGGCATCCAAAGCAGAAAGGAAGAAGTAAAATTAACCGCATCTGCAGATTCTGTATACAGAAAATTCTAAGGAATTCACTAAAAAAAACTATTAGAACTAATAAAGGAGTTTAGCAAGGCTGCAAGATACAAGATTAATATACGAAAATCAACAGTATTTCCATATTTTTAAGTCTTTCTTTTTTTTGATATAATTGAAATATACTCTGTGAAAGTTTAAAGTATGCAATGTATTAATTCGATAGAATTATACATATCAATATGATTACAACTAACTAGCTAACATCTCTATCACATCACAAAATTATTTCTTTTTTGTGGTGACAGTGACTCAGATCTAGTCTCTTGGCAACTTTGAAGTCTGTAATACCGTATTACTGACTACAGTCCCTATACTGCGCATTAGTCTCTAGGACTTATTTACTTACTAGTTCCAACTTCATACCCTTCAACAACATACCTCCAATTTCCCCAACCCCACCTCCTGCTAACCACCATTCTACTTTCTGTTTTCACAAGTTTGGGCTTTTTAGATTTCACATATAAGTGATATCATATACACTATTTGTCTTTCTCTAACATTTCCTACAGTATCATGTGCTCAAGGTCCACCGATACTGTCACAAACTTTTTCATTCTCATGGCATATATGTATGTGTGTGTGTATATATATGTATATGTATGTGTATATATATATACATATAAGTATATCTCATAACTTCCTTACCCATTAACCATTGATGGACACCAGGATGTTTCTATATCTTGGTTATTGTGATAAATATGGGAGTGCAGACATCTTTGTGAAGTCCTGTTTTCATTTCCTTTGTATATATAACCTAGTGTGGGATGGCTGGATCATATACTACTTCTAGTTTCCATTTTGTCAGGAACCTCACAGTGTTTGCCATAGTGGCTGCATTAGTAACGACTATTCCAAAAATAAAACTAGGAAAATAATTCCATTTAATAATAGCACCAAAAAGTATAAAATACTAAGGTATAATTTTTTTTAAAAGGCGCATAAGACTTGTATGCTAGAAACTAGAAAATGACATTATCAAAAGAAATTAAAGTAGGACTAAGCAAATGGAGAGACATGTCATGTTCATAGATCAAAAGATTTAATATTGTTAAGATGGCAATACTCCCCAAATTGATTTATAGTTTCAATGCAAGCAACCTCTATCAAAATCCTAGCTTCAGTTATCAAGATAAGTACTGCTGAAGAACAGATGGAACTGACTAAAAATGAAGGGAACAGAACTGGAAATCCAAAATTAACCCTTACGTGCATGGCCAACTTGATTTCAACAACAGTGCCAAGACAATTAGGTGGAGAAAGAACAGTCTTTTCAACAAATGGTTCTGAAACAACTGGATATTTACATGCAAAAGAATGCCTTTGGATCCGTACCTTACACCACATACAAAAACCAATCCAAAGTAGATCACATAAATGCCTTAGTAAAACTATAAAACTCCTAGAAGAATACAAGGGAGTAAATCCTTCATAAAACTGC